GGATCCATTATATTCACTTACGTTCTAATAACCTTAGGATAGGTATGAATCCTACTCTTCTCACGCCAGCTATGGGTAAATAGCAGGACAGATTGGGTTCTATAGACTTGGATGGCAATTGGTCTACCGCAGAAAGAAATGGCAACGTAATGCAGGGAAAAAATTGCCTCGTTAGTCATGTATCGAAAGATACATGATCGCCTAAGCGTGTATCACGCATGACACATAACAGACTGAGATGAGAGGTAATAGAAACGAATCATGTATTTTCTATTGTAATAATTTCTATATATGTTAGGGTTTATTAGATGTACGAATTTTCATTTATAAAGATGAGAAATGTATTTTTTTGTCTTTTAACATTTTAACCAAAGAATAAACGAATAGAAATTATAATCAAAATTTAATCCGGAATCCTAGAATAAAAGTTACAGAAATAATTATTTGCAGAAAAAAAGAGAGATGAAAAAAACAAATAATTGTAACAAAAAATGCTTCACTATTCGGACCCGCTTGCTTATTTTGGTTGTTATTCTCACAACGTTTCGACCGTTGTTTCCCCCAGCGTTCTTCAGGTGTCTGTCGTCGTACTCGCTAACCCTATTGGGATTTTGCAAAGAACCATTTATTTGGCTCACGTGGATAGTTTTTTTCTCATTTGACTTTCCTCGCTAAGTCGATATTTTATGGCAGTTTACATACTCCATGAAACCGTATTTCTTTGAACCAATGCTCTAATAATAAAAGGAAATGATTATGATTTCAATTCCCGAGGCTGGTAATGCTGAAAAGTCACATATTTGCGTTCAGTGAAAAGATCAGCACAACGGCGAGAAAGACTTTGAGCCCTGTGTCCCTGAACAATTTTAACCCTTCTGCCTGAGCTCTTGAGTCAAAATTCGCAAATAATTGGTATGTAATATTTCACTGTATATATAAAAAGAGTTAAAAGTTTTTACCCACCGTTCAACCGATGGCTGGGCTTTAAGTCATTTGTCTCTACTATTGTTCAACCGGTGGCTGGGAATTACGTCATTATGGTGGTCAGGGCTCAAAGTGCTAAATGAATTAATTGTCAAACAGAGAAAGCACTATGAAAACCTCCTACACTCGTTGATTTAATAAAGAGTTTGAAATTCCAAGAATGTTATCCCGTAGGAAGCTATACTCTTGGAATAGAGCGGACCGTACACCGGCTTAAAAGTTGTGAATATAATAACTAAAATATTGTTAGAATTAACAAGCGTATAATAAGCGTATAATAATAATTTTTCATCAAAAAGTTTCCTACAAGAATTAGCAACAAACCAACTATGACTAAGCAAAATTATAACGCTTTTGACGAGTTTGGTTTGGTTTGATTTTGTCAGGTTTTGTTTGGTTTACGACATATCACCTTCAGTGGTTTTTTTAATGCCAACGAGATTTTTAATGCTGGTAATAAATTTTTAAAAAGATATATTGCTGCTAATATATATTTTTCCAAAAATGTATTGCTCGTAATATTTTTTCTTCAAAAATGTATTGCTCATAATAATTTTTCTTCAAAAATGTATTGCTGGTAATATTTTTTTCGTCAAAAATGTAAAGCTGGTAATATATTTTTTTTTTCAAAAATATATTGTTAGCAATATTTTTCCTTCAAAAATGTATTGCTGCTAATATTTTTTTCTTCAAAAATACATTGCTGGTAATATTTTTTTCGTCAAAAATTTATTCCTGGTAATATTTTTTTCTTGAAAAATGTATTGCTGTTAATAATTTTTCTTCAAAACTTTATTTCTGGTAATAATGTTTACTAGTATAAAACTATTTTTACACTTTCATAGTGTTTTGATCCGAGTTTGGGGATTAAGTATTGACCCATACCTGGGACCCTAATAGGTGCTAACACCTCCGGTGAGGGTGGACCTGGGAACACCAGCAATTAAGAGTTGCTTCCACGCTCCTCAAAACCTCCTGATCAGGGTCCTTGCTGTTGGACGTAGTTTATCGTCTTAACCAGGATGCGGTTGTAGTTTATCGTCTTACCCAGGACGAGTTAGATAATGATGGAAGTTTCTAAATGTCCAACTCTATGCCATTTTCTTTTGCCTCTTCTAATATATTTCCCTGCCTTAATATGTTTCAACAAAATTATCTCAAGCATGCCTCAACTTTTAGCAACTGTACTGTAAGCAGTCTTCCAGGAATTGAAAAATAGCACTCACAAGTTTTCTTTTCATTACGGGGTAAAAACGGTAAAATAAGTCGCATAACAGGAAAAAGCTCATATTAAATTGAATTCCTTTCGAACTATCAAGTATTTTATTTTATACTATTGCATGTATACAGTTCGTACATGTTCTTATCTGTAGTCATACGTTCAGTATTCGAGTAAGTTTTCGGCTCGTTATCTGACGTCATCTTGTTCCAGTTAACGGCATCTTCACACTTCTTTCCGCCATTTTTTTCCATTAGAAAATGTCGTAGCCCTTTTACCATTGTTTCATTCGTACTAGATAAGCAGGAAAAAACTATTTATTTTTATATCTGTCTACCTATTTGCTTGTTTCCAACATATTTTTTTATTATTATTCAAACTTTTTTTTTTAAATGAGACTCTTGACTCATAAACACAGGTATTTAACTCATGTTTATCCTATGTTGCTATTTTATACTTAGCGTTTTGTATTTTTAAAACTTTTATTTCGGATTATTTTCTTCTTGATTTTACCATTAAAAGAGCCTTATTTCTTTGCTTTAATACTAGGTTGTTTTTCGTGTATTCCTTGTAGATTATTGATTTTAATTTTGTCTCACTTCATTATCTTTTAAGTATTTTACTTTCTTTTCTTCTTTTATTCCTTCGTTTCTTCAACGATTCTTTAAAAAAAATTCATTAATGTTCTTCAACATGAATTTCTTCTTCCTACCTTACCCATATTTTCCATTATTTATTATTAAATTCGCGGAATCTCTATCATAATTAAATATATTTCTTTTATTCAGTATGTAGATTCTTTATTTCCTTGGCTCTTTCATATTTACTTTCTTTCTTTCTTATATATTTTATTCTCCTTTACTTTCAACTTGGTTTACTTTCTTCTTTTTTGCGTAAGAGTTATTTTTCTTCTTTCATATACTTTCTTTCTTTCTTTCTTTTTTTTCTTTCTTTCTTTCTTTCTTTCTTCCACTCAAAAAATTCTCAATCTTTTTCATTAATCTATCTATCGAACCAGAACACACAAAGTTCTCACTCTGTGTCTTTAATCTATCTATCTATCTATCTATCTATCTATCTATCTATCTATCTATCTTAGTCACTTCGCTTTCTTTCTTTCTTTCTTTCTTTCTTCCACTCAAAAATATTATCAATCTTTTACATTAATCTATCTATCTGAACCGCAACCCACAACGTTCTCATTCTGTGTCTTTAATCTATCTATCTATCTATCTATCTATCTATCTATCTATCTATCTATCTATCTATCTATCTTAGTCACTTCGCTTTCTTTCTTTCTTTCTTTCTTTCTTTCTTTCTTTCTTTCTAGCTAGATATTCTCTATATTTCAGTCTCTTCATTATCTTTCTTTCTTTCTTTTACAATTTTCTCTTTTTGTACCGATTGCTTTACGTTCATTGTTTCTTCTTTTCTCTTAACATTTATTTTCATCTTTAATTTTCTTTCCTTCTTGTTCTTTTTCTTTCTTTCTTTCTTTCTTTCTTTCTTTCTTTCTTTTTCCTTTCTTCCCTTTTTTCTTTGTTGTTTCTTATGTTTTACATTCTCTTTTCATTCCACTGGTCATACTTTCTTTATTTCTTCTTTTTCTTAAAATTTATATTCTTTCTTTCTTTCTTTCTTTCTTTCTTTCTTTCTTTCTTTCTTTCTTTCTTTCTTTCTTTCGCAAAAGTCTTAATCTTTTTCATTAATCTATCCATCTGAACCCCAACCCACAAGTTCTCATTCTGTATTGTTAGTCTCTCTATCTATCTATCTATCTATCTATCTATCTATCTATCTATCTATCTATCTATCTATTTCAGTATCTTAATTATGTTTCTATCTTTCTTTCTTTCTTCTAATTAACTCTTTCACTTCGTTTTCCTCTGATGTTCTAATCATTTTATTTTTTGTCTCCTCGTCATCGTCTTGTTTGTTTGTTTGCTTTTTTTTAAATTTCTTTTAGCCATGTTTTTGTATCAAGATTTATTTTATTTAATAATATTTTAAATTCATCTTCAAATCTGTACAGACTAAGTTCCATCACGACATTCCCTAATTTTATTTCTTTTTCTTTCGATTAAATATTCCCCCCTTTTCTCTCTTCTAATTCTTTTTAATTGCTACTTCATTTCTTTGTTTTCGTCGACTATTTTTCTATCCTCTTCTTTTCATTTTCCAATCAATTTTATCATTGTAATGTTTCAGTGATTATAATATTTCATTTCATTCATGTAATTTTGTTTTGGACGCGTTATCCATTTCTTTTGGTATTACTCATCATTTTTGCAATTGATTTCGTCTTTATATCGATTAATAATTCTTTTTTTCTTTTCAGTTTTCGTTTATTTTTAGGTGATTTCCTTTTATGTTTTCCTTTCTTCATGATCAAGGTGTTTTATTCATCCATGTTTTTTTTAAACCGTTTCACACTTGACAGCATGCAGTCTTCCTTTATTTCCACTTCACATATATCATTCAATTTTCTTACCTCGAATTTTCAGTCCAACTTCGCCTCTGCTCTTCTCGGATCTCTGCTTTTCCACTTCGTCGCCGCCATGTTTAAATTTGTCTTTATTATTCTTATATCTGTGTGATCAGCGCTTTCTTATTGCTGCTTTTCTAGATTGCGTTCTGTGACGTGTGTTATATGCAACTGCAGGTCTGCAAAATTTGCTGATAGGAGTTGAGTCATCGTTATCTTACTGCCTTTGAAGTGTCTTCTTATATTTATTGCTGCTGCGGAATTCTGTCTTAGTTGTCTTTACACCAAATGCGAAAATTTTACGAATTTTTATCAGTCATCTTCACTTGTATCATCATCATTGGCCTCACCAGCAGAATGTGTTTCACAATTATTCGGAAAGAGATAGTATTTAAGAGACGAAAGGAAGTGGTGGACACTAAATTTCAGTATGAAAATAAATAAATTGCAGGTGGCAATCAAGAGCAGAGTGGTTTTGTAAACCTAGATAAAAGACGATATTAAATTTAATTTAAAACAATCTACCCTTTCCGATTTCATACTTAATTTACTTATATTTTAAAGAATTTACAATAAATGATAACATCCTAAGGCTCAAGTGACATTCAAGTTATAGGGTTAAATAGTCATGATGAATGATGTTAAGGGGTCCACCTTTTTTTATACAAGTGGACTCGCCCAGTGTGTACTTGTACTGCTGCCGGTGAATACCCGGAAGTGAGATAGAGTGAGAGTGTGAGGTAACCGCTTTGGAGGAGTCACAGTTGCGAGCACGTAGACTCAGAAGGAAGTCATACTTCGATACTGAATTTCCCAGACTGTATATATATTATTATTGCTATTAACCGCATTCCTGGATCTTCTAACCGTATTACCAATTGTATTATAACGTCAATACATTTATTTGCTATATTTCATTCCTGCGTTTGTCATTCATTTGAAACCGGATTTCATCCCGGAATCCACAACAAATGAGGCCTGTAAATTCAAATTCAGAACAGTTATTGGAAATTGAAGATTATCGCATTCAGAGTAGCGAATGGCTCTTGACATGAAGAGGTGAAGATTTTTAACGTTCAGGGAAGAATCTACTTGAGAGAGAGCATCGTTGCACAACGTAGGAGTTTGTGGGGAAAAGATGACTGACTGGAAGTTTCTCCTTACATTTGGAATAAGGGGAAAATGAGGCTTAGTCGACTCAGTCGATGTAACGTAGAGCATCATAGTTGTAACCGTTTGAACTGGTGAAATTAAACAATGCTTCTCATCTGAATATTTGCGACCTTGCATCAGCGAGAACGAGGCTGCAGAGTGAACACTATGGCTTCTTCACAAAATGGCGTCAATGAATTTGAACTCGATCTTGGATTAAAAGTTAGGAGTGATCGACTAACAGTTGATTTTTTTTATCCAGTCTGACTCTTGTGAAGGTAAAACATGACAGAAAAAGCCAGTTTATTAAACTATTAATAGTATTTCCGTATAATAGCTAACAGTGTCATATCTCTGTTCGGCTTAAAAATATCATGGCGGAAATTGCATTTATACCTGAAAAAATATTTCTAACTACAACAGCCATTTGAAACTTGATCTGCCTTTGTACGTCTATATGTTCGACTTAGAATATAGTTATTTATACCTCTTGCGATAGTGGTTGCGTCATTTTTAATGGCGCTTATGGTCGATGTTCGAGTTGGCATATTAAAAATATGACATAGAATGCTACATTTATAAAAATTACGTAATACAATACGTCTCGCATTTCTTTTCATACGAGTGGCGTTAAAAGTGGTGCTTATTAAATATATTACATCTCTTTTAACTCTGGAAATTATTGTTATTAATATGACTATAGACAAAGATTCGAAAGAAAGAGAGAAAGAAAGAACAGCAAGCCGTCGAATTGACGCTGACCGACCAAAGCACGGATATTCCCTTCATTATAACCATTCTGAACAAAGTCTATAAATCATATCCAAATGTGGGCGACGTGGTTTGCTAAAAGCACCCCATAATCATGCAGATCCACCTTAGATAAAAAAAACCTTTCAATTCCCATAATTCTGTTTACTAAGAGGGCTTCCGATTTAGGGTTTTCCCCGAGAATTTTCATATATCCCCCAAGTCATCTTGGCTTCTTCATTCTACAAACTTAAAATTAAAAAAAAATCAATCCTTTCTTTATCGTGCCATGATTCCCGCTATTACTTTATATGATTATGGATAGCTGATAAGCAAATTTGTGATATTCTACGGGATATCTACTGTAGCCCATTTTAAATGACCGTGAAACAACATTAAGATCAGCAGCCATATTATTAATATTATTATTATTATTATTATTATTATTATTATTTCCTTTGATTTCTGGTGCATACTCATTTCTTTCATGCCATTTTCAATTGAGCAGTTTTTAAAAAATATCACGTATTTTAAAAAGATGAATCCATTCGTAAGTTATAGGCTGTACTTCTGAGAACATTTTTTTGTATTTCTTTAAGACACTTGCTACCAGAAATCCCTTCAGTGAGTCGATTGGAATCTTTTTAACAATCAATCTGAGAGCTCCAACTAAAACTGAAATTGTTGATGTCCTCCTGTGCCACATTTTAGAGATTTCGATTTCAACGTCCTTCTTGGTAGTCTTATTTTTAGACCATCAAAGGCTTAATGAAGTCGGCAGGAACTGCTATGCAAATAAAAAAAGGCACATTTTATTTTTGCGGCTTCTAATCACGATGTCTGAGCGACTTGATTTGCTTTGATTGTTCTGACTCTACGTATTGTGAAGTCTCACAAAATGGTTACAGGCTATGTCCGTAACCGGGTTTGGGTGGTGTTCATGCTAATTTCATGCAATTTCGTTTCAGTAAGTGTTGCAGATTTTCCAGTGCAAATATTGGCCTTCTCTGCGAATACCGTGCAAACTGCTACAAGATGTTCAATTGCTTGTGGATATTCCTCACATAATCTGAATTTCTGTTTAACACAATTTCAGCATGTGTGTTTATTAATTTCTAGTTAGTAAGTATTGGTCCTTTGCAGTAAGAATAAAACCTTCTGTTTCAGCCTTTATACCTGCACTACATAGCCACTGATATGTACGGGGTTTGTCTACATCAGCTTGTTGTTTACGGGCGGAATATTGACTTTGAAGGTGTTGGTCTTGCCAGCCTTTCTGTATCTGGTCGGTTGCATTTGCTTTTGCTTTCTTTTTTTCACTATTTTGAAGATTCAGTCGGTGTATTCTGCTTGTAGTTCTTCACCGATTTGAAACTCCATGTTTGATTTGTTACCATCCTTTATCACTGAAGAAAGTATTTTACTAATTTCATGTTCTTTGACTCATTTAATCATCCCGTCTTCTGACTTTCCAGGTATCTTGAAGACTAATTATCGTAGTTTTGTAAGACAGTTCTAGTTGAACTAATCCTCTACCTCCTTCTGATCAACAGCGCCTTTAATATGGTGCATGCGATGAGAAACCTCGTTTTGACATCCTCTCCTTTAATATCAACTCTGGTCCAGTTAAGAATGTTCAAACTGTATTGAACCACAGGGATAGCCAGGGTTTTTTTTATGGCTGATATTATGTTTTTTGTTATTTATTTTTTAATTCAGCTCGTTTTCAGTACCATACGTATACGCATGTAATACTCCTTTTTACCTTCTATTTCTTTTGTGTATGCTGTATTCCATCTCATACGCTAATTCCTGACTACCAATATGCTTCTTGTTCCACTTCCCTAATCTTTGTGCTAAAATCTAAATCTATTAAGTGTGTTTCTGTAATTTTCCCTTTCTTGAATGTTACTTTTGCACATTTATCTAATCCGTAATCCATACTTTTGTCGTCACTGAAACATTTTACAGTATTGAGGAGACCCTTCATCTTATTGTCGCTTTGGCAAAGAGTTTGAGATCATCCGTGTAGAGTTGGTGATTGAATATTTATCTTGTTTATGTTGCAACCATAGCTATTATTGTTTAGTTCATTGTTTTGGGGATTAAGGACAGACAAAGCAGCAGGGCGTGAAAGTCAGTCTTCTTGAAAGATTACTCATCGGATATTCAGGCAGTTAGAGATGGCGGTGCCTCTGGTGTGATTTTGGTATAATGTGGTTTTCCACATTCCCATGCTGTGTTTAAGGAAATTTACTATCACATGGGAGATTTTATACATTTCCATTCTTAAGTATCTAAGAGCGTGGCACAATATCAAAGGCTTTTTTTTCTGTAAGCTATCCATGCTGTGCTAAGATTACTACATATTTTCTGCAATTTTCCAGAATAATTTTGTTTATCAGTAATTGATTATTATTATTATTATTATTCCATTAGCATAAGCATTTTCTGGTGTTTTGGAGGTGGGGATTTCAGCTGGGTGCGAAGTCGATGGTATCAGTGTCTTTCTGGAAATTGTTTGGTATTGTTTCCAGCAACAGTTAGCAAACATTTTGACATGTACATTCTACATGCGCTAAATTTCTTTATCTGTAACATAGTGATAACACTTCAGTTAACCGACACACCTGATAAATTTTTTTATGATAAATGTTATTCCTGGTGGGGTGTATTCGATAGATTTATCAGTCTGAATTGTAAAGTACCACAAGAGATTATATCATCCTTTACTTGCACCTTCTCTGGTTTAGGATTATAGCACTTGTGAGAAATTTTTAATTCAACGTCTTATGATATATATATATATATATATATATATATATATATATATATATATATATATATATATATATATAGTATATAAATATCTATACATACATACATACACATACATATACACAGAAAAATGTCCAAGAGGATAGAATCCAGACAAAACACAATGTCCAGGACAGAGTAAGAATATAACATAAAAGGCTCAAGCACCAATATTCCATGGTTATAATTTATTACACTGGAATCGTAATTATGATCCAATTAATCAGACATACAATTTCAAAAAGAAATCAGAAAAAACTCCGGGAATAAATTTTAATATTTATTTTTATTTTTTCTGATTTCTTTTTGTATTTATAAAATTTAGTGAGTGTGTATGTATATTTATAAATACACTCTCACTAAATTTTATATTTATTTTTTATTCCCGGAGTTATTTTTTTCTGATTTCTTATTGTATTTATAAAATTTAGTGAGTGTGTATGTATATTCATAAATACACTCTCACTAAATTTTATTTTTTATTCCCGGAGTTATCTTTTTTCTTTTTTTTTTTTTTTTTTGCACAAGGAAGGCAAGTAAGCTACTAACACGAATTCGATTACTGAGTATGAAACAATATAAAAGAAAATATTTAAGGGCGAGAGCAGTGAAGGAACAGAACTGTAGATGACAAAAGATAAATCTGACATTGCATTTTACTTTATAAACATCAAACTTGATTGGAAAGCGAGAAACCGGAAGTGAGAAACCGGAAGTGAGAAATGTGAGAAAAGAAACTCTTAGTACAGAACTTAGAGTTACATCTAAGCATTTCAACTATGAAATGAAGGGACTTTTCCACCAATCTCGTATTTCGCTTAAATGCTTAGAAGATGATTCATCAGAACAATTACTATGAAAATATTTATAGGAAAAGCCATATGGAAAATAATTTACGGTAATGGGAAAATGATTGATTCTGTCGCTTCAGTGGATCTGCACATACCGTATGGTGAAAGAAAGGAAACTAAAACAATAGTTTCAATTAATTTGCAAAAGGATGTAGTACTCTTAATTTCATGCAGTCAAAGCTCTAAGGAGCAAAACACATCAGAATAATTGTCATGAAATCAGTTCCAGAAATGACATAGAGAAACCAAGTCATAGCGACGGAAAATGGCTGAAGTCAAGATGCCACATTAGCATCGATTACATTGCAGACTCTTTGAATATTATGTAGAATTTCAAGGAGCACCTAACTAGATATATCATATACACTATGTATAATTTATCTGAATATCACAAATTAAACTTCCTTATATAATTAATTGTGAAGACGGTAGGCTATTAATATTCGGGCAAATTGTCTTAACTTTGCTGCGAAATTTAAAACATACTTTGATTGTGTGAAGGCAAGCAGGAATTTATCGGTTGTATGTTTAATGTAAGGAGTAAAGCTGACACTGACTTTTTATCTTCGTAACGTTTGACACTTGGGAGGTGTCAGTATTTTTTGCAGGCTTGATAAATGTCAAAGAGAAAATTGAAATAAAAATGTGCGATAATTTCGTTAAAATTAGAAGTAGAAAAGATAAGACATTTTTGAATAAGAAGGATGAAAGATTGACTGAAGAAAGGTCTGAGGTGAAAGGGTAAGGAAGAAAATAAGGGGGAAACTGTGAAACTAGAAAATTAGAGAAAGGAAGCAAAGTAAACAACAATGAAGAAAATATAAGTAAAAATAAAAGCAAAAACCAAAGTGTAAAAAAAAGAGGGTAATAAAGAAAAAGAGACATAAAGGAGAAGAAAGACAGAAAAGAAATAAAGAAAGCGAGACACAAAAAAAGAAAGAAAAAAAGGAAGAAAGACAAAAAGAAAGAAAGAGAGACAGAAAAGAAAGAAGGAAAGGCAGGAAGAATGAGACAGAAAAGAAAAAAAGCGAAACGGAAAAGAAAAAAAGAAAGAAAGAAAGAAAGAAAGAAAGAAAGACAGAAAAGAAAGTAAGATAGCGTGCCAGAAAAGAAAGAAAGAAAGAAAGAGAGACAGAAAAAGAAAGCGTGACAGAAATGAAAGAAATAGAGAAAAGAAAGAAAGAAAAAAAGAAAGATAGATAGACAGAAGAGAAAGAAAGAAAGATAGGCAAAAAGAGTGAGAGAAAGAAAAGAAAGAAAGAGTAACAGGAAAGAATGAAACAAAGAAAATGTATCAAAAGAAACAAAGAAAGAGATTGAAAAAAGAAAGAGAATCAGAAAAGAAAGAAAGACAGAAAGATAAACAGCAAAGAAAGAAAAGAAAGAAAGAAAGAAAGAAAGAAAGAAAGAAAGAAAGAAAGAAAGAAAAAAGAACTGAGAAATAATACTGAAATGGAAAGCAAGTTGAGAAATGCAATAGAGCAGAATTAAAAATCAATATCCGGAGCAAGCAAAATAAAAACAGAAATTAAAAAGAAAAAAAAAAAAGACAACGATGACAGAAAGCCGAAGGAAAATGATGAAGTCATAAAGTAAAAAAAAAAACGTAATGAAATAATTGATGAAAGGAAAGCAAGAAAGAAAGAAAGAAAGAAAGAAAGAAAGAAAGAAAACTAAAAGGAAAAAATAGGCCACAAATATGGAAATGAAAGAAAAGAAGCAAGCTAAAAGATCAAATAAAAAAAGAAAAAATGCAACGTGTATAAAAGAAAGAATAGCAAAAAAAATGAATAAAAAAGAATAAAAAAAAGAAGGAGAATAAAAATGACAAGAAAAAAGCGGAATAGAAAGAGGTCGGAACGAAAAATGCAAACCGAAAAGAAAAACAAGTCCAAGGAATGAAAATCAATCCAAAGAAAGAAATAATACAGGAAAAAAAAAAAATGAAATTTAAAAAGAACCGATAAAAATAAATCCCGAAGTCTGCACTGGTTAATCTTCGAAAACATCGCGTTTTCAAAATTAAAACGGATGCAAATATAATTAAATTAAGTCTGATTCATTAGTGGCAAAATAATCGTCACTGACGATTACAGTAGCCCCAAACAAAATCTTTTACGCCGATAAATTTAAAAAAAAAATAATGAAAGGTTTGCTGAAAGACCTTAACCGAGACTTTCCTTTTTGTGAACATCCTGAAACAAGAAAAAAATGTGTTCATTAAATTTTCTCATCGGTTATGTTTTCGCAATGCAAGCTGAATTTTGCCACAGTTTGCCAAATATCTTATTCCTGATGCGATGTATCATTGACTTTCTCAAATTCTTAGGAGTGCATTCTTTTTTTATTTTCGCCATGATCCGTCGAAAAGTCTTTTCCGCTAAATACATTGTTTCGTTGTGGGCATTGATTTGATATATGCATTGTTTAGCACGGGCGTTATTAATAAACATAAACTGTTAAATTGCTTTGTTCCAACAGCTTTAACTCTCACTGCAAAGACGGCTACACCGCAAATACTAAGGCGAGCCATTCTACGGTTACTCTACGCGACTAAACAGTATATATGCTCTTTATTATAGGTATTAACTTATTAACTTTGCTTATACCGCATTTTCTCTGAATAACCAAAACAAAACTGGTCTTTGTTAATCGTCTGAGATAACTGTGACGTGGCCGCTCCAGGTACCGATCCTATGGTCACGGCACCAGATGTGACGTCGTCCCCCGGTCGCAGCGCCAACTGTGACGTTCTATCCTGATCTACCACGGCGCCAGTTGTGACGTGGCCGTTCCAGGGTCCTATCCCGGTCACGACACCAGTTGTGACGTCCCTAAACAGCACCAATTGTGACGTCTTCGCCGCGGCGCCAGCTGTTCGCTCCTCGCTGCTCCGTCCGGGTGTCGCTGCTCCAAACGTGACGTTCGCCTGTCGCGTCTCGTACTGTGACGACCAACTGGCTCGGTATCGGTCGCGGCACCCAATGTGACGTTCTAACATTTTGGTGATTCGGGTGGGAATCTGGTTAGATTTGATATCAGCCTCGCCGTTCCCAACTCGCTTCCAACGCCTGGTTACCAAGGTAACTGCACTGATCTCCAGTCTGCCTACTCACGTTGTGAATTGATCTTAGACAGACGAGATCAAACAGGGGTTGGGACCGCAATGCAAATTGAGTTCAACGGGGGTGATAACACACAAATATGCATAAAAGAAAAGAAAATGAAAACTCAAAAAGTTCAAAGTATCAAAGAATAAGGTAACAAACTTTATGTCTAGTTGTTCGATACATAGAACTGCATCTATCTCCCGACCCGTTCTGTGGATTGTGACACGTCGTTTTCGCTAGGCAAGTTTTAACGCTTCAAGTTGTTTGCTCTCTAAGAAATTTGTGTTTCGGTGTGACTCTGGACGAAAGTAGAAAAACTTATTTCGGTGGTCTGGTCCTAAGTCGCTCTTCAAAATAATTGTTCTTGGTTGGAGAGGAGTCTAAAATTTTGCGTGAATCTTGGTCAGCTATCTTGAGGCGGCTTCAACTCTGGAAACTGGAGCTCGAAATTTGGATACTCATCTCTGCCGCCAGGGCCGAACGAACTACTGGACACTCATCTCTGCTGTCAGGGCTCGAAATGATTTCTGCCTGTTGGGGCCTGGCTTTTATTGACGCTAACAAAAACCGGGTTGGGTCTGTTGGCGTCGGGGAGTTCCTCGATAATTCTAAATACATATCCACCTCTTTTATTTCTGGTTAGGGATTTTCCACTCTTTTCCATTTTTGGTAACTTTTTTTCACTCCCACTTTCTCACCATGCTTCTGAGGGGCGTGAACTGCCCTCCCCACTTCTTCGTAGCGGCTTCTCATACTTATACTCTGGATGGGGGCGTCGACAGCTTTCTTCGTGCGTCACGTGATCACTCTCGGCCAATGAGGTCTTGGTCGGGTATCTTTCCACCTCCTTCGTGCGTCATGTGATCACCACTTGACCAATGACGTCTTAGTCGGGCGTGAACAACCCGCGGCTTTGTTTCGGAAAAAAATACCTTGCTTAACTAAAAAATTAATTATCTCTCCTCTTTCCTCTTTTTCTTCCTTTCAAATCGCCGTTATAATGAACGAATAATATGACAACTCTTTTTTCAACACGTGGCGTTTGTCAAGCAGTTTATCTCTAATTCATCAGATGGCTGGTTTTCCGACATGGCCTCAGAAAAGAATTTTTCCAAGTTTTCAGTCGGTCTGACGTCTCCAAGGAAGAAATAAAAACATTTCTTATTCCATTCATTTTCCTTCGGCTCATGTGTCTGATAACAAAATTTTATTATCGCAGGGCAAAAGTTTGTTTTATCGAAAAGAGTTTAGTTAGCGAGACTGCTTGTGTGGGATTTTAATTTTCCATATCTAGCTAAGGCTCCGTAGCTACACCTGTGTTTTGTCAATTATCAAAATCTAACGTTTTCAAGTGGACTTTCTTTGGCGAACATTTCTTGATAACACAATTCCATTCGCGCAGGCCAAGTAAGAAAATCGGTCAATGATTGCTTGCAGGTGGCCTTTAATTTTCATATCTGTCCAAAGTCCTTTTTTAGTCGCCTGTCTCTTGTCGTCACTTATCGAAATAACTTTTTCGCTTGAATTTTTCCCTTGGCCGGTGGTCTGTGTTTTGATAATAAGATGCCTTCCCGTACCAATAGTTTGTTTTCATATCCTTAGATAACACTTCCTTACCCACTCAATCTCATTGTCATTGTAATGACACTCTTCCGCCATTTGCCACTTATCCAAAATAACCCTTTTTTTTATTGCCTCTCAAGCCGTGTGTGTGTGTTCGCTTATCACCTATGATCCGTCTCGCATTACTTTTTCCCTTCCTTTCTTCTTTTCTTTCCTTTTCCCTTTTTGCCTTTCTTTCTCTGCCTGGATGCATGGTGCCACATAACCCTTTCTAGCTTTCCATCAACATGAGAAATGTTAACCTCCAGAAGAGTGACTCATTGTACCACCTTTTCGGGCGAACATTTTCCTCTGAGATGAAGTGGAAATATTACATCGATTCAACTTCTATATCAGCAGATAGGAGAGTTGGCTCAGTTTGTCGTGCGAGGCAACTTAACTCGCCCGAATCTATTTGAAGTCTACCAGACGTCAATTCTTAGAATATTGCTGCCGCAGATGAGCTAGTGCTCTTGCTATATTTATCTTTGATAAAATCCAAAGAACCTGCAGTATTATTGGTAATGACCTGGCATATCGGCTTCAATCCTTTTTCCACCGCCATAACGTAGCTTCCCTGTGCATTTTCTATAAATACTTTGGTGGTATATTTTCGGATGAACTTTCCTCTATGGCACTTAGATTTTATGAATGTAAACTCATTACTAGAGTGGCAGTTATTTTATAGTTTGAATGATTAGATATAACCAGAATTTCTATGCGAAGAATTTCTGTTTGGGAAACACTTTTCCGGCGTGCTTTCAAGTCAACTTTGGTCTTCAATAATTTAAATGCAATGTCAATCGTTATCTTGTCTTCTCAAATTCTCTACTTTTAATATTCTTGCTCATCAATAATGTTTTCTTTTTCTTTTATTCTTTCACATTCTGTAATCCCCCGGGGTCTCTGTGGCTTTGTTGCTTTGCTTGGGTGAAAGATTTTTTTTTAAACAGTATCATTGTTAATTTGGTCTCTTCTATTGGTTTTAAATGTTAATTTCGACTTACATACTATGTCAAAATTGATGTTAATTTGAATTTCAGCAGCATCGTTTAGTATATAATCTTAATATCGCAGTAGGTGTTACTTGTTATTCGTTTTAGTTTAACATACTGACATGTATGTGGCACAAAGAAGAAAGATCAAAATAGCTAGTAATGATTTTCAAGTTCAAATTCCTATTACATATTATGATGTCCTTCATTCCGCAGCATTTGATTGACCAAGGATGATTATTACGTCCATATTTCTGAGATGATGTATTATGTACATTATTTACATTATCCGGACTATTGTTCTCATGTTTGTTGCTATATTTATTACAACGTTTCGGCCGTTATACGCCCTGGCTTTCCTCAGCTGCTTGGAATGTCGAACTGAACTATTTATTTCGCTTACTGGAGTAAACTGTTCTAGTTCCACGTGCCATGTTTAATGGATGTCAATTTATCAGTTATCTCCTTGAGGACACATGGAACAGTGGATAAAGGTCCAGTAACAGGACCCAATCGAGTGTGAGTTCAATACCCGGTTAAGGCAATGGAGAAATTTGAGAGGGGAATTAACAGAAGATAACTGATAACTGACATCCATTAAACATGACACGTGGAACTAGAACAGTCTAGTGAGCGAAATAAAGGGTTCAGTTCGAGATTCCAACCACCTGAAGAAGGCCGGAGCGTAAAACGGCCGAAACGTTGCAATAAAGATGGCGACAAAGATGAGTAAAATAGTCTGAATAATGTAAATAGTGATTATTACGCATTATGATGTCCGTGATATAGCAACAGTTCATTGGCTATGAATATTCTGAATTACAATGGAATTTAATTTTAATTTTTCTTATTCGTTCTTTTCCGGGATAAATTAACGTTTCCTCCCACACACACACACACACACACACACACACATATATATATATATATATATATATATAATATTTCTATGTTCATCTGTAAGAAGATTCATGTTTCTTCACATTTCTCAGAAGTTGCAGTTTGAACATCAAATATTGCCAATTACCGACGAAAATTGAACTGTAAACCTTCGTTATGACTAAAGAAAATTACCAAGTATTCGACGGAGGAAAACACTTTTCTCTCATCATTACAGAGAATTATTATTTGCCGCTTTCTCAATATTCTCTTTTCTCTTTACCGACACTATGATAACGAAATAATCATTGTAAATTAGACAAGACTTATTAAGAATGCCGTTGATCATAGCAATACATTGAGTACATGGTGTAACTTTATCGGTAAGATCGGAAGAGAAACCTTTATTGATATTATTACGATATTATTACATCACCGGAAATATAAGCACTATTTGGGGCCTAATGGAAATTTGGGATTTCTTGGGTCCCTAATCACATAAAAAACGGATTAGTTAGATGCGGATTTTTAGCAGGATGGTTCAAAGAAAAGAGCCAGAACTTCGCCTACGAGAGTTGGTTTATCTTTGATACGAAGAAGAAACAAAAACGAAATGGCGGGAAATAAGAGGAAGAAGTAAGTACATTCATCTTAATCAGGTTATCACATATATTCTGCCATAATCGCCTTCATTCGGTTGTAAAGGCATTACTTTGAAATTGCGAACTAAAGTATTGTCTTTCTTTTTTTCTTTTTCGTTCAATTAATTCTTGTTTATTCTTTTTGTCTTTTTCTTCTTTTGTTTTATCTGCTTTATATTTCCCCTCTTTATTTTCTTTTCTCTTTTCTTCATTTCTGGATCTATTCACTTCTTTTTCATTATTATTTGTTCCTATTTAATCATTTCTTCAAAATTACAATTCCATCATTTATCTTCACTATCTATCTATATCTCTGAGATGAGGTGTTATGATTACCTGCATTATTTCCATTATTCAAAATATTATCGTCATCTTCATTGCCATATACAGAACATTTCGCTCTCTATATCTGTGAGATGAAGTATTATGATTACTTGCATAATTTTCATAATACCTCATCTCAGAGATATAGAGGCCGAAACGTTGTGAATATGGCAATGAAGATTAAGATAACAGTCCGAATAATGGAAATAATGCAAGTAATCCTAATACCTCATCTCAGAGATGCAGAGGCCGAAGCGTTGTGAATATGGCAATGAAGATTATGATAACGGTCCGAATAATGGAAATAATGCAAGTAATCCTAATACCTCATCACAGAGATGCAGAGGCCGAAGCGTTGTGAATATGGCAATGAAGATTATGATAACAGTCCGAATAATGGAAATAATGCAAGTAATCCTAATACCTCATCTCAGAGATGCAGAGGCCGAAGCGTTGTGAATATGGCAATGAAGATTATGATAACGGTCCGAATAATGGAAATAATGCAAGTAATCCTAATACCTCATCTCAGAGATGCAGAGGCCGAAGCGTTGTGAATATGGCAATGAAGATTATGATAACGGTCCGAATAATGGAAATAATGCAAGTAATCCTAATACATCATCTCAGAGATGCAGAGGCCGAAGCGTTGTGAATATGGCAATGAAGATTATGATAACGGTCCGAATAATAGAAATAATGCAAGTAATCCTAATACCTCATCTCAGAGATGCAGAGGCCGAAGCGTTGTGAATATGGCAATGAAGATTATGATAACGGTCCGAATAATGGAAATAATGCAAGTAATCCTAATACCTCATCTCAGAGATGCAGAGGCCGAAGCGTTGTGAATATGGCAATGAAGATTATGATAACAGTCCGAATAATGGAAATAATGCAAGTAATCCTAATACCTCATCTCAGAGATGCAGAGACCGAAGCGTTGTGAATATGGCAATGAAGATTATGATAACGGTCCGAATAATGGAAATAATGCAAGTAATCCTAATACATCATCTCAGAGATGCAGAGGCCGAAGCGTTGTGAATATGGCAATGAAGATTATGATAACGGTCCGAATAATAGAAATAATGCAAGTAATCCTAATACCTCATCTCAGAGATGCAGAGGCCGAAGCGTTGTGAATATAGCAATGAAGATTATGATAACGGTCCGAATAATGGAAATAATGCAAGTAATCCTAATACCTCATCTCAGAGATGCAGAGGCCGAAGCGTTGTGAATATGGCAATGAAGATTATGATAACAGTCCGAATAATGGAAATAATGCAAGTAATCCTAATACCTCATCTCAGAGATGCAGAGGCCGAAGCGTTGTGAATATGGCAATGAAGATTATGATAACAGTCCGAATAATGGAAATAATGCAAGTAATCCTAATACCTCATCTCAGAGATACAGAGGCCGAAGCGTTGTGAATATGGCAATGAAGATTATGGTAACAGTCCGAATAATGGAAATAATGCAAGTAATTCTAATACCTCATCTCAGAGATGCAGAGGCCGAAGCGTTGTGAATATGGCAATGAAGATTAAGATAACAGTCCGAATAATGGAAATAATGCAAGTAATCCTAATACCTCATCTAAGAGATATAGAGGCCGAAGTGTTGTGAATATGGCAATGAAGATTAACATAACAGCCCGAATAATGGAAATAATGCAATTCCATGAATTTTCTTATTCACTGTCCTTGTAAGCTTTTTCTTATTTCGTCGAATTTTCCTTCTCTCTTTTAAATTCTCTTATTTATCCTTTTTCTCTCAATTGCTTCTCTTTTTGCTTTCCACATACATTTTCAATTTTCACCATTTTCTTTTCTCCCTTCTTTTACCTGTTTATTTTCTATTCCTTTCTTCAGCTTTTCTCTCCTTCTCACCTTTTGATGAGTTCAGGTGTCGGTAAATGTCATTAGTAACATTATCTTTTCTACTTATTTAGAACGAACAAATAAATAAAAGAAATAAAAAAAAAAGATGTTAAAACCTTTTCTATTCTTTTACCCCATAATTTTCCACGTCTTTTCTTCAGCTTCTAATTCCTTCTTCCCCTTTTCTTTCTCTTCTTTTAGCACTTCATGTACAACTCCTTTCGACGTCTTTCTCACCTCATTCCTTTCTTCACCATTTCCTTTTCTTTCCCTTCATTTTCTTATGCTTTCCTCGACAGTTTCTCCTTCTCATTCGCTTTCCACTCTCTTCGTTCTCTTACTCTCTCATTTTTCATTCTTTTCTTCCCTTTCTTCTTCACGCACCTCTTTCACAATTCTCTTTACTTTTTCTTATTTCTTACTTTTATTTTCGTCTACTTTCCTCGAATGCCTTTTCTGCTTCTTTTTTCTTTCTAACGATTACCTGTCAGATTTTCAAATTTCTTCAAGGCTTATTTCATATTTTTCCTTCATATTCTTTTCTTTGTTTGGGTACTTCAACCTGGGGTAATGGCTAACAAGCTTGTGGATCTAGATCAATTACGACTGAAAAGTGAGATCGATACTCACAGTGTGCACCCAGTGAGGAAACATGAATCTTCTTACAGATGAACATATAAATATATTATCATATATATATATATATATATATATATATATATATATATATATATATATATATATATATATATATATATACAGGAGATTTAACTTAGATTAAAATAACAGGGAAATGTATAATGAATAGGAATATATATATATATATGTATATATATATATATATATATATATATATATATATATATGTGTGTGTGTGTGTGTGTGTGTGTGTGTGTGTGTGTGTTTGTTGTTTGTTGGAGGTGAGGAAATGTTAAAGGATGAATAAGGAAAATAAGAATGAATTAGAAATGTAAATTTCCATTGAAATTCAAAACATTCATAGCCAATCATCTGCTGTAAAATTAAAGCAATCATAATACGTAATAATCATTCATAGCCAATCAAATGCTGCGAAATCAAGGACATCATAATATGAGATAACAATCACAATTTCAAATTGAAAATCATTAGTAGCTATTTTGATCTTTCTTCTTTGTGCCACATACATGTCAGTATGTTAAACTAAAACGAATACCAAGTAACACCTACTGCGATATCAAGATTATATAGTAAATTATGCTGCTGAAATTAAAATTGACATCAATAGAAGAGACCAAACAAGCAATGATACTGTTTAAATGAAGTCTTTCACGCAAGTAAAGCAACAAAACTATAGAGACCACGGCTGATTACGGAGTGTGAAAGAATAAAAAATAAAACATTATTGATGAGCAAGAATAATAAAAGAAGAGAAATTAAGAAGAAAGAAGATAACGATTGACATTGCATTTAAATCATTCAATATCAAATTTGATCTTTTTAAACAATATCTCCATTTTCATTAATTTTAGCCTTTATTTTTATGTTTTTATTTAATAATTCCCTACTTTTTCATGGTTTCTTTTCCCTGCGAAAGTCCTCAACCTTCATATTACTTGGTTTAATATTTCAAAATCCAAATTCAATCCAAATTTTGTCAATTCTGATGCAAAACCTAGCCGCCATTAATTTTTTGCTTTTGATAAGTCTACATAATATTCAAATTGATTCAGTTTCTTACATTTCTTTCCCCATGAATTGTAAATATGACACTATTCATTTAACGGCCGGGTTTCGTTACAACGTCCAGGAAGATAAGTCGGTAATTGTACCTTACTCATACAGTTTGAAGGATATTGCTCATTTAATATATTTGTGGTAACCCGATTTAGATGATTTTAATCTTACTTTTTCCACCATTTTAAAATTTCTAATTTATTTCTCAATTTAGTGAACGATACACGTAATAAAATTATTTGAAAATCCTTGTCTATATTCTGAGTATTTCATTATTTTGGATGGCATATTGTAAATACAGGAAAGGTGAGTTTTTATATTTTTCACTTAATTCATTTTATTTCTTTTGATTCATTTTAAAGAAAGAGAAATCAATCAAAAATATAGTTTTGCTAGATGTCCGTAAGTTCAGGCGTCGGTAAGTAGCATTAGTAACATTATATTTCTACTAAATATTTATTTCATGATGCATTTTTGCATATTGGCGTTGAGTAACACCTATTTAGCAATAGGATATTTATTAGTTTTAAGGGAAGAATATTTATTAGTTTTAAAGGAAGACCAGGATGCGTGACCAGTAACTATATAAAGTAAGATTTTATTTCATATTAAAAACTGTTATCTTGGCTATATCATGAATATTATATTTCTTTCTTTCATTTTAATTTCTTGGTCAGCATTCTAAAACTACTCTTTCTTTATTATTTGTAAAATAGAATTCATTATTAGGAAATATAGTCGAATTAGTTTCCAAACGAATTCTTCAAATTTTTTCTTTCATTTAATGTTTACCTTCAGTTAGGCTGTTTTTTGCTCAGTGCTAGAGAACTTCATTTATTCTACTATTTAACCCATAACTGGGTAGAAAGATGTTAATTCATACTTTTCTGAAGATTATCACAGCGAAAGTGAAAGTGAAAGTAACAGCATCGTCCAGGATTTGAACGCAAGTCTCATGTCCGGTGTCAATGACCCATAAATTACTGACTCAAAATGGCAGCACACTTTCCTGAATTGATCTAAGATGCAAAGAAATTGCAGCAGAGATCCAACAAGATAGAAAGTCAACACAAGAGAATTAACTACCGTTCGCTTGATGATGTATCATCCATTTATATTCCTGACAGAAAATTATCAAAGAAAGACAAATGTAAAATTAAAAAATCAAATCAAAAAGAAGTCATGATGACATTCAGTATTAAATAGCTGCGGCGAATTTATCCTTGAGAAAACCGATAATATCAAGTGATAATCGTCCTTATCTCTCTTGAAAATTTTCCTCGATCAGCAATCTTTCGCTGTGATTGAATTAAGCCTTTGCCGTAGACTTGCGATGGGCTGGCTAATGAGAATTGTTAATTTGTCAAACATAACAGTGCCTGAGAAATCCTCATCTCGCAAAAGAAAAATACACGAGGAATTATTTACTATTGGAATCACGTCGATGAATGTTTAAACTTCATTTTCACTGGTCTTATATTTAATATATTCTTTTTTTATATACCGTGTCCCTTCAGGGCGTAAGCGATCATGGCTCTCCACTTTCCCCAATCCCTTGTAGCTCTCAAAATGTTTCGTCCCTCTGCTTCCACCCCAGACGACTTTCTGTCATTCACTTGCTTAAGCCCACCAGGTATTTTATGCGTTGTTTTTCCTTGCCTCACTTTTACTCTATTCAACCTGTGAGCATTAGAATCTCCAAGCCCTTCTTTCTCATTACGTGCCTTAGAATGCTCAGTTGCAACTTCCTGATGTTAAGTATAAGCTTCCTCTTTGTTTGCATCATTTTCAAAAGTCTCATCGTTGCTTACACACTCGGTCCATGATATCCTTAGCATCCTTCTGTAGAATCATACCTCCGCCGGCTCGGGTCTCTTCTTCATCTTTGAGGAGACCGCCAACATTCTCTGCCGTAAAGGAGAACAGATATCACGTAGCAGCTCAATACTCTTTTTTCTTTTTCTTTTTTTTTTTTTTTTTTTTTTTTTGCTACCAAAGAAATCCTCTTGTCACTTCATACTCTGGCTAGCTTTTGGACTGCGTCCTTGGCCATACCAATACGTGTACGGATCTCAATGTAACACATACCGTCCTCCGTCAAAATAGCCCTATGACTGCCGAAAGGTTGGGAGAGTAAAAACAATTATTGACAAGCAATGTCAGTGCTGATGGTCGTCTGTGGCATACAAAAACTGTAACGTCACATGCCAACAGTTCTAAGAAATCATAGAAACAAGGAGATTCAAGATATGCGATGAGTAATGAGGTGGATGTTATATAAGTGTTTTCACCTTCTTATTAAATCGGTTGCCATCCAAAGCTAAAGAGCACATATACATCCATCTATATTAATATATATTTGGGCAGCGACCTCTCTTTTAAAAATATTTCGTTAAATATCTGTCTATATTTCTGAGATGAGGTATTATGTACATTGTTTACATTATTCGGACAATTGTCCTGATCTTTGTCGCCATATTTATTACAACGCTTCGGCCGTTGTACGCTCCGGCCTTCTTCAGGTGGTTGGAATGTCGAACAGAACCCTTTATTTCGCTCACTGGGGTAGACTGTTCTAGTTCCACGTGCCATGATTTAATGGAAGTCAGTTATCAGTTATCTCCTGTTAATTCCCCACTCCAAGTTCTCCACGGCCATGTGTCCTCGCCTGAAAATGACTAAAGAATTGGCCGAAAATATTTGGGACAATCGACGATATGGACAAGTTTTGTAATCACTCTAGCGGAAAAAGTAAAACATTAATAAAATTTTACTTGTATTTAACGATCTACACACACAGACACTTACACACACACAAACATGTATGTATATATATATATATATATATATATATATATATATATATATCACTTATAAAGAGAAAAAATATTAAAGCATTTGCCGTACTTAGTCCATTTCATATATATTGTCGATTTTTACGTTAGGTTGAAATTTCATATCAGGTATGGTAGATCGAAAAAGATTGGCGAATGTCTGTGTTTAAAAGCAGTAATTCGAGATTTTCTAAACCGAAAGTCCTCTGTGGGTGAACGGTCATAGCACATCAGGCTAAATGACAGCTGTCTCTCGCTCTCGCTATATATATATATATATATATATATATATATATACACACACAAATATATATATATATATATATGAGAGAGAGTGTGTGTGTGTGTGTGTGTGCGCGCGCGCTTGTGATAACTGCCATACGAGGGCAAAACCAGCCACGGTTCTGCCAACATGTTTACATATGCGATGAACGAAAGATATTTGGAGAATCTTGAAAGTTACTTCGTCTCCGTTCACTAACATATGACGCGACAGCATGGCGTAAAAACGGTAAATTTTATCACAAAACTGACATAAGTACCTTGCAAGCCTGTCAGGATGGCCATTAATATAGTTGGTACTAGCAGTAGAGCCCGGCGTTGCCCGGGGATGTAACAGTAAGAGACAGATCAAGCATCGACCATCATAAAGACTGAAAAATAAAATTGACAAAGATTATTGTTTAAGGTTGACGGACACGCATGTCTTAATTAGTTTTTTTTTTTTTTTTTACGAATTGGTCAAACCCAAACTCAAACAAAAACATTGTTTTCAAACGTTATGAGTCTACCGATTGAATAGAATTTCATTATAAACAATTGTCTTGTAAATGGAATTTTTAAAGCATTCTGAATGTAAAAAATAAAGAAAAAAGTGTGCAAGACAATAAGAAACTCTACCTGTCAAAAAAAAAAGTGAAGTTTTGTTGAAATGGGTTGAAAAATGTAGGAAATCCAATCCCATATATAAACGAACACACATTCACACAAACAACCTGGGTTTTATAATAAGTATAACTCGATATGATTTGTCCCCCTTTCATTTTCGCGATGCCTCTTAATCGTGTTTTCAAATTGATTTCGTGCAAAAACAATTGTATTTTTCCAATTTTTGGCGGTGTCAGAACCACCACAAGGTAATTTTACGTAGTCCTGTGAAGTTTTGTTGAAATCGGTTGAAAAATATAGGAAATCCGATCCAATATATAAACGTACAGATACACACACACACACACACACACAACCTGGGTTTTATAATAAGTATAATTAGACAGCTGATTTGCACGCGATCTTAGTAGAAAATCGCCATTTTAATGCCAGGTACATGATATTTCTGACATACGTAAATAAACATAGATATGTATGTGTGTATATGTGTGTACAACTAAATGACAAGATGCAAAAAAGCATATCTGACTCATTTTGCCCTTTCAAAAGATCTTTAAAAAATGGTTCCAGCTGATGGAATTTCATACATATATATATATATATATATATATATATATATATATATATATATATATATATATATATATATACTGAATCTCGCATTAATAGCCACACTTGGTTTCAACCTTACAGTATCCTAAGTTAAATTTGATCACATGACCTCTTAACGCTTTATTTTATTTTTTTTAAAAAAGAACTAATGGACGCTATATTATCATTTTAAAAATATGTAAACAAACGGACGATGCTGGGTATAATGGAAAGAGGAAGGAGGATGTGAACAAGGAAGTAGTAGAAGTGGGAAGAGAAAAAAGCAATTGTGACATAAATTTATCTGTGTGGGTTTAATTGGATTAAATCGATAAAAAATGTATTGCTCATCCCAATTAACCCCACACCAATAAATTCATAACACACATGCCTATCTTTTCTTCTTCTTCTTCTTCTTCTTCTTCTTCTTCTTCTTCTTTATTCACGTCATCCACCTCTCTTTTCGATTATACCGAACTTTGTACGTTTATTTATTTTTGACAATCGTAATATAGCGTTCATTAGCTTTTATAAAAAAAATATAAAGCGTTACGCGTTCAGTCGATAAAAATCGC